TTCTTACTTTTCCCCCCTACACCCCCCTTAGCTCCTGGTCTCCTGATTCCCTTGCTGGTACGACCTTCAGCATGCCAGCGCCTGTGATAAGGAGCCATCTGCTTCTAAAGGTTTCTCATTCCTTCTCCCCGCCCCCCCCCATTTACAATGGCAGAACTGCAGCATGTAAAAAGCAATTTCTAAACTAGCCATCATAACAATCTACTATTAAATCTTGCGAGGATTCTGACAGCACCTCCATGTCGATTTGTGGTCTGGCTGCTAAAGAGACCAGAGACCTTTCTTGTGCAGTTATTTTCTGTGGTTTGGTCAGGGGAAGACCAAATGCAGATCTTTCATGAAGATGACATTCCCACCGATAAGCACAAAGCAGAGTCCCTCCCAGCAATGTTTTTCCCATAAGCGACTGGGCAGGACCAGCAACTGAGCACATCAGGAGCCATACTGATGACAATTTACGCATCTTGGAATAACAATATCCTTAGCAAGATAACTTGCATACATTTTAAGTTATTTATTTATTTATTGAATTCATATAGCCGCCCATTTCGCTTGCATGTGATTCTAGGTGGGATACACAATTAAAACAAAAGCTTAACAAGCAATATAATTTATCCATTAAAATAATTAAAATCTTTTCTTTAATAAAAAAATTATTAAGTTTCAAACAAGAATAAAATACACAAAGACATCAAAAGAAAAGCAGAAAAGAAAGAAATAGATAAAGAAATGTGAAGGAGAAAGAGAAAAAAAGGGGGAGGAAAGAAGAATAGAAAATAAGAAAATAACAACTTCTTTGGTACAGTTATAAGTAAAATAATACTTTAACTTCTTTCTCTAATAATATCAATAAACACAATATTTCTATAACAAAAACAATTCTAAATCTCAAATCTCAAAGTCAAAATTTCATTTCTTTCAGTTACAATCAAAAATCCCAAGAGTAATTTCTAAATAGAAACAAAGTTAAAGAAATTTATACAGACATGTTATTCCCAAGATCTTTACCAACATTTGAAGTATCATTTAATCCATCATCATTAAACACCTATTTATTTTCTAGAACAATAAAATCCATAAACATTATCATACAATCCCAGTCCAAAAATAAATTCCAGTATTACCAATCCAAAATCATAACTTGTACATTTTAACTTTGGTCCCATAAGTCCACTTTAAATTCCTTTTTCTTCTTATCATGGAGCTTGACATTTAGGCTTTTCTTCAAGTGAAATCTCAGGTAGTAATTTCTTGTCACGTTGTCCTTTTTTACCATCAAAGACATCTTCAAAGGTTTAATAAATCCTTCCTGCGAATCCAAAGAAGAAAAATCTCCAAAAGACTCTTCTGCTGTATGG